GATGATGCTGATGATGATGATGACGATGATGATGATGATGATTATTATTATTATTATTATTTTTTCATTATTATTATAATTATTATTATGATGATGGTAATGATGATGACGACGATGATGCTGATGATGATGACGATACTAATGTTAACAGCTGGTGATGATGGTAATGATGATGATGATGATGATGATGATGATGATCATCATGGTGATGCTGATGATGCTGCTGATGATGATGATGATGATGCTGATTATGTTCATGCTGATTCTCGAAATAGGCTTGCCCTACAGGAGCTCTAGCTCAATCCTATTAATTGTTCCGTTGCACCCCCCTCTAATTCCTATGCCCCCCCTTGATTGCTATGACTATGCCAGTGCCTATGCCAATGCCTCCCCCCTAGCTCCTATGCCTACGCCTATGCCTATGCCTGCTTGCTTGCTTGCTTGCTTGCTTGCTCGCGCGCTTGCACGCTTGCACGCTTGCTTGCTTACTTGCTTGCTTGCGCGCTTGCTTGCACGCTTGCTTGCTTGCTGAGTTGCGGGTTCCAAGCATGCTTGATTCTGCAGATTCCTTGATTTGAGTCGTCTATTCTATTTGGGGTCAACGCTGGCTGATATGATGATGATGATGGGGGGGTGGAACAGGAGGAGGAGGATGAGGGGGAGGATCTGAGGATGAGGACGATGATGATGAAGACGATGCGGATGAGGAGTGGGATTGGGAGGATGAGGAGGATGATGTTGACGATGCTGATAATGACGATGATGATGATGATGATGATGATGATGATGATGGTGGTGACGATGTCCTTGATGTGGGTGACGATGATGCTGCTGCTGATGATGATGCTGATGATCAGGATCGTGATCAGGATCATGCTGGTTGTAGTGTTTTTGGTGGCGATTATAAGGAGTAGGGATGATGTCGACAACGACGACGGTGATGATCTTGATGATGACGATGCTGATGCTCATGCTGATGCTGAAGATGATGATGATGATGATGATGATCATGATCATGATGACGATGTCGTTGACGACGACGCCGATGATGATGATGATGATGATGATGATGATGCTGATGATGATGATGATACTGATGATGCTGATGATGACGATGCTGATCATACCGATGATGATGCTGCTGATGCTTTTGCTGCTGATGCTGATGATGACGATGATGGTGATGATGATGCTGATTCTGATGATGATGATGATGATGATGATGATGATGATGATGATGATGATGATGATGATGATAATGATGATGATGATGCTCGTGCTGTTACTGGTGGTCATGCTGATGAAAATGTTGAGGCGATGATGGTGAGTAGGATAATGAGGATGCGAACGACCAGCATGATGCCGACGATGATGGGTGGTGGTGGTCACTGCATAAGGGAAACAGAATCCCGAGCAGAGCAACACGCACCACGACCACGACGACGCCGACGACGACGACGACGGAGACGAGGCGCGCTTACGATCCGCACCGAAGCACGGATTTGGGAAAGGGCCCACCCTGCAGGTTCGGTTAAACAGCACATCGTTGAGCGGTGCTGCAGCCTCCCCTGAGCACAGGCCCCCCCAGAGCATCAGCCAGACAAGTCGGGTTTGCACCCTCATGCCTTGCTGGACTCTTGGGCGCGTTTCGGCACCCTCTCCCCCAACCTCGTCAGGGCCACCGACAAGGGAGAGGGCGGCGGTGGCCGACGCGTCCCCGAGCTAAGAAGCTCAAATCGCCGCGGCTCAGTGAGCCGGGAAACAGACAGACAGACGGACGGACGGACAGCCTGACGGCGTGCAATGCCTGGCGAGCCAAGGATGAGGATGCGGATGAGGATGAGGATGAGGATGAGGATGAGGATGATGCTTGGCAAGCCAACGGTGATTATGATAAGGATGAGGATGGTGATGATAATTCTGATGATGATGAGGATGATGATGAGGATGATGGTGACGATGTGGCTGATGATGCACACTATGTCGATGAGGATGATGCTGCTGCTGATGCTGCTGATGATGACGATGTGATGATGATGGTGGTGGTGGTGGTAGTGGTAGTGGCGATGATGAGGAGTAGTCATTATGTTGACGACGAAGTGGTTGACGACGTTGATGATGTTGATGATGCTGATGATGATGATGACGATTTTGATGCTGACGATGCTGATGATGATGATGGTGTTGATGCTGATGCTGCTGACGATAATGATGATGATGATGATGATGATGGTGATGCTGATGACGATGACGATGATGATGATGCTGTTGATGACGATGATGATCATGATGTGGATTCTGATCATGCTGCGGCTAATGATGATGACGACGATGATGAGAATGACGATGATGCTGATGATGCTGATGATGAGGATGCTGATGGTGACGACGATGCTGGTGATGACGATGCTGACGATGCTGATGATGATTGGTAATGATGATTGGGATGGTGATGATGGTGATGCTGCTGATGATGATGATGATGGCGATGATGAGTATG